ATTCTCGCGTTTTCGTAAATCACAGGGGTTCTCGTTTGAACCTCCACCTATATATATATATATATATATATATATATATATATATATATAAAAGAATAGGAATTGATTTCATGTTGGTAGTTATTGTTCCAGTACAGTTGTTTGATGGTAGGTTTTGGTAAAAGTGGGCCTTCACCTGTAGCCGTCTTGTGGGCCCATCTATTTCAATGATGGGCTTTCTGTTTCTTATGGACGGTTGTATGATTGTGGCCTAACTGCTATACATAATTATTATATTTTTTAATTAATTTAAAAATAAGAGGTCGGAAGAAAAAATATGAATTATCTTATAATTCATTAAATAATTTTTTTAATCATATTAACCGAAAAATCATTATTTATTTAAACAAAAGAAATACTACGATATTATTCTATATTTATTATTTTATTTTCATATAAAGCATGTATTTATTTATATTTAAAATATTTCTATAACCAAATTGAAAATTCAATGCCTATTTGAGCACACTAACATCATGACATGAAATCTTAAATAAAAGAAACCTTAGGGTTTTTTTTATCATATATAATTCTAAATAAAATTTTAATTAAAAACATGATATTCTCATTACTGTAAAATAATTTATGGTCGATCATATCCTTAAATGATCCAAAAACACAAGAGTGGTGTCCGATTGGTTTAAGTTTGGTTCCAAATATCAAAAGTATCAGGAGGTCCCATGTTCAAATCAAATGAGGAATAAAAATCTCCTTGTGGCTACGGAGGTTCAAATGCGGTGACTCCGAGCTATCTGCAAAGCAGATGGTTGTCGTGGGATTAGTCGACTCGCATTGCGGGTTGGATATTCAGGTTAATCAAAAAAAGTGATCCAAAAACCATATATCGACTTAAAAACTAAAAAAATATTGTTTAGAAATTGCAAATGCATGTGAACACATAAATGAAAAATGATCGGTGGAAATATCCCAGAAAAATTAGATACCGAATGTAACTATCAAATAGGGAAAGTTATGTATTAGAAACGTTTTTTATTTTAATGAATCATGACCAAACTTATTCCTAACGAAATGATTTTGGTCGTTTGTCAGCTCTAATACCAAACATATATGTTGCTATTATAATAATACTTGTATCTAACATGATGATACGTTTATCCGTTATCGACTTGTCATATATATGACCATTCTTTTAGTCAAGGTTTCAAACAACATGAAGTGTTAGGTGGCTGCGAATGACCCCTCAAACACTGCGAACCATATTGTTTCTCTATTCAGACATGGATTAATGGGCCGTTTATTAAACGCTTCCCTGGGTAAGTACTTACCAATAGGGGTGTTCATGGGTTGGGTTGATCGGGTTGAAGACATTTGAACAACCCAACCCAATGCTTGTGGTTTGAAAAAATCTTAACTCAACCCAACCCAAACCAAAGTGCAACCTGTACGGGTTAGTCGGGTTGGTCGGGTTGATACTTTGGTACATTAAAATATTTTTCTAATTTTGAATATATTATTTCTCTACTCATAATTTATTTTTCATCATCAACCATTTGATACAACTTGTCCATATTTCTTACGTATATTACATTCAGCTAATTTTCTCAATTTACATATATATGTTCACAGTTGCTGAACATATATACGAATGAGTTATATAGATATGTGAATAGACTGAAAATATGTGTATATGAAAAGCATACATGATAGTGTAATTATCTAATGTATATATTAATAAAAATTCAACAATCATATTGAATCCAAGAAATAAAAGAATATGGGTTCATCGGGTTGGGTTGGGTTCAAATAATAGTAACCCAATATCAACCCAATACCTACGGTTTGACAATTTTACAACTTGATTAGACATCGAGTTGCTTCGGGTTGGGTTATTTCCCGTTGGGTTGGGTTGGGTTGATCAGGTTGGTCGGGTTTTTGAGCACCCCTACTTACCAAGTCACATTACCTTATCGGATGAATATGACAAGGACCACAAATCTTACCTGGTAAGAACAAAGGAAATGACCGGGAGTCTTACCCAGTAAGTGATGGTGACAACTCTTACCATAGTTAGCTTTTACCGGGTATATTGTTGTATATGATACCGTGTTGGTGGACTAAAATCCTACCCGGTAAGTATGTGATAGTGTTGAATGTTACCGGTAAGCGCTTACCGAATAAGTGTTTGGTAAACGACCCCTAAGACTCGAAGAATGTGTGTGTAGGTCGCCCAAAAATCTAACCAAAACCGCCAATCTAGCCAACCCAGCCCGTACATAATCCATTTAAACCCGATAGGCCAAACCAACTACCCGACAATTAATAGTGTTGAAATTGGATTAGGCATAAATCATTCCAACCCAACCTGCTACTGATGTATAAAGCACCTATTATATATAAATTATATAATTACACATGCATTATAAATAAATTATAAATTGGTTGAATTACAAATTTAGTGAAAAATTTATAAATACACTATAAATTCCCCGAGTTACTAATTTAGAAAAATTGTAAATGACAGTTTTACCCTTTATAATACTAGATGATTCATTGATTTACAATATCATAATTAAGGATAAAATGAGAAATCATGCACTTAGGGGTTTGTTGGCAAAAGACATCATTCTCACTTACCTTATGGATGGTCGGTAAGCGTTTAATGGGTAAGAGTCTTTTTCCTCGTCAGGTAAAACTCTTAGTCCTTTCCATGCACAATCACCAAAGACTGCTATCTGCAAAAATTATATCACTTGCAAAAAATGTTATCCCGCTCGTGCCTCTAAATGACACCCTCTCCCATCTCGTCGACCGTCAGTCTCGCCACTACTATAACCTGCTACACATGTCAACAAGATACAGTGTTAGGCTTTACGTTCTCTGAGTACAAACGATAGTCATAAAATTTAATTTGTAAAAGTAAATGCAACGTTCACAATTCATCATTTCCGTTTGAGCATCGTATTTACAAGTAGTAACATAATTTCTCCAAAACGTTCCTTTAGACAAAGGGGAAATCAATAAAAGATTTATCTTACGATAACTTGAGAGACCTGATTCCAGTCAAGTGGTTTGACGACTCCATTTTGAGATTTCAAATACTCCTACGTTTTTCTCTTCTTGGGACTAAGATAAGAATATCAAAACTCCTTACTTAGAGGTGCTTGCGATTGCTTATCTGAAACGTTTTATGTTTTTCTATAAAAACACTTGTCAACTTATTATAAGTTAGAAGGGTTTAACTTCTTCAAAAACTCCTTATTACCGGTTTGACACCGGCATAAATTGTTTATCAAAACACTCAAAAGTGTATATTATTGGTGTCACACCGAAATAAGTCAATAAGTTATTTTTATAAGCAATCTGAAACACCCCTTAGATTAGATGAACCCCGAGTTACAAGATGAAAATCAGGTTTGTAACCGGTCCTGTTGAGTGAAAAAACTGGGCCTCTTCTATGGGCCATTAGAATAATGGGCATTGGGAAAATGGGCTTGGTGTAGATAGACACGTGTCTTATCTCTGTTTCTCCACCTCTGTAATTTGGGGTTTCCCAAAATGATGATGAAATCACCGATTATCATACCTTCTCGACGGCCCCCATCTTCCCTCACTGTTCGAGCTTCCATGGATAACAACCCCCAACAAATCGATCCACCAAAGAAGAAAGTGGTGGTCTGCGGCGGCGGAGTCATCGGCGTTTGCACCGCTTATTTCCTTTCCAAGAAAGGCGCCGCCGTTACCCTCATCGAACAATCATCCATCGCCTGTGCAGCGTCGGGAAAAGCCGGTGGGTTCTTAGCTCTTGATTGGTGCGACGGCAGCCCCGTCTCCTCCCTCGCACGTGCCAGCTTCGGTCTCCATCGTTCACTCGCCGAAGAACTGAACGGCCGGGAATTATACGGCTACCGTCCAGTTAACGCCCTTAGCCTCTCCATCGCCGAATCGGAAAACCCACCACGTAGCCGGAAATCAAAGCTTCCGCCGTGGATCGACGGCCCGGCGAAGACCCCAAAAACCATCGGAACGACTGAGACCACCGCTCAAGTTCACCCGCAGCTGTTTACTCGGACGTTGATGGAGAAGGCGGTGGCGGAGTACGGGGCGGAGGTGGTTATCGGGAAATTGTTGAGCGTGGAGACTGGTGGAGGGAAGATATCGGCGGTGGTTGAGGGTGGTGGTGTGATCGATGGTGATGCGGTGGTGTTGGCACTTGGGCCGTGGTCTAGTAAGCTTACGCTATTGTCATCTATAATTCGGGTTAATGGGCTCAAGGCCCATAGTTTAGTTTTGGAGCCCAAAGAAATGGATGCTATTACGGCCCATGCTTTGTTTCTTAGTTATCAACCGGCCCATGGTGGACAGCCCATGGATCCAGAAATTTATCCTCGTCCCACCGGTAACATTTGATTCTATAATTCTAATTTTTAAATATTTTTATTTTAATAATCATTCTTTAAAAAGAAACATCTATTTTCCCAATTTGCCCTTGTTATGTGACGGTAGGAATTGTTTTTCTAATTGTCAAGGGTAAAAATGTCTTAAGTTGATGAAAAAGTAAAATTGGGTAACGAAAGAGGATGATTGATTGGTTTGAGCTTGATTAGGTCAAAAGTATCAGAGGTCTAGGTTTAAATTCAAGGAGGAATAAAAATCCTTTGGTCATAAAGGTTCAAAGTTCAAATGCGATGACTCTGGGCTATCTGCAAAGTAGATGGTCGCACTGGAATTAGTCGGCTCGCATATTGGGTTGGATATACAAGTTAATTAAAAAAAAAATTGGGTACCAATTTTGCCCTATATAACATATAGATAGTTGTAACATTTGATAACATGGGTTACAAATTCCGATAATTTGTTTATCTTGTAACATTTGATGACGTTCATAACCCTTTCATAAAGCGGGATACATATTATCAAATATTATAATATCAACAGGTAACTTATGAGGAATATGTTAAAAGAATTGGAAATTTTTAAATTTTGTTATATACATCTAGAAAAAACTTATTCGTTATAACTAAATCAAACTTTGATGCGTTTTATGTTGATACAGGAGAGGTGTATGTATGCGGAATGTCTTCCGAGGAAGAGGTTCCCGATGATCCGGATCAGATCGAACCGAACCCGGATTCAATCCGGGTTTTAAAACGTGTTGCTGGGACGGTATCTAGCCATTTAGGAGTAGAAGCTCGAGTAAAAGCCGAACAAGCGTGTTTCTTGCCGTGTACCGATGACAGCATCCCAGTGATTGGCGAGATTCCTGGCATGGCGGGGTGTTTTGTGGCGACGGGCCATAGCTGTTGGGGAATTCTTAACGGGCCTGCCACCGGAGCCGCCATGGCGGAGCTTGTGATGGATGGTGGCTCCAGCATTGTCGATCTTACTCGGTTTAGTCCGGCCCGATTTGTTGGAGGGATAGGAAAAAGGCGATAAATTTGAATAATGTTGATATATATTGTATATTGATACATTTTCAATAAGAATATTTATGAGAATTTAAATTAGTTTATTTTTTAATCTAATTTTATTTAATTACCGACTACTTTTCTTTTACTTTTAACTTCATATTTTATCTTTATTTGCAGTAATTTTTACGAACTTGCATATATTTAATGACTTTCATTTGTATAAATTTGTTTAAGTCTTAATAGTTTAGTTAAAAGTTTGTTTACCTCTTAATAATTTCATTAAAAAACATCATCTGAATTGTTAAGAGGTGAATCTTGTTTGGTAAAAAAAGTCTGTCTTTTAATAGTTTTAATTTTTTTTTAATATTTTATATTCTGGACCTTCCATTATTTTCCAACACCACAAAGAAAAAGGCCCAAATAGACGAAATAACCCACATTCTATAAAACTATATCGGGCTCGAATCCAGCCTATTTTCTTGTGACGATTGTTTTCTTGTAAACGAATATCTGTTTCACTAAACAATTTTAAAAAAATGGTTTTTTTAGTTATATTAATAGTAATTTAGTTAGGAACATTTAAGGGTTCTTCATTAAGCGTTTATCGACAAGAGTCATCATTCTCATTCAGCTTGTTGGATAACATTTTTGGTCATACAAAATGATGGTTTATAAGCGTCTCTTACCTGATAATCGTCAACCGGATAAGAACATCGGTTTGTGACATGTCAAGTACTGGATAATATTCCATTTCTTGTTATACCCAGGTAATTGAATGGGTAAACGCTTATCTGATAAGAGTTTGAAAAACATCACTTTAGTATTTAAAAATAACTAGAAAAGTACTCGCGCAATGCAACGAGATACATCTCGATGTTATTATGTGTTTTTAAGAAAGCAATAATGATTTTATTTTTGAATGAAATATAAATTTGAAAATATCATAAAAATTTGAAGAAAAAAAATATATCGATGTTAACATTAAATCAACTATTTAAATGTTCTCATTTTTTTCTTTAATTTTTTTTATTATAATTTAATTTAAATTTAATAATAAATTAATTTATTTTTAGTTTAATCATATAATATTTTACTAAAGATAATAGTTAAGTATTTTGTTAGAACTCAATGATTATCTTGTATTTTAGATTTTTTATATTTAAAATAAGATATTTATCGTATATTTGATTATGTGTATCCGCAGTTAGTTACACAAATTCATATATGGAGCTTTAATGAGTCGCACTTACGCACAATCTACTTGTAATCTTGAGTTTTAAGTAACATGCATTAATAAACAGTACTTTATGCATAAAAATTGGTTTTTTAAAAGTTGTTATCAAATGCTTTATAATATAGTATAGATAATAATTTATTGTGTAGACTAAAATACATTGTTTTTTCTTAATCAAATTGAGGGTGAAGATAACCGTGGACATTACGGAGTATATTTAATTGATTTATTAGAGTTAATTTTATTTATTTATTCATTAAGGTATGAGTGTAATATTTGCAACTTAAATATCCGGTCAAATATTGACTTTTGACCCATAATTTCTACTTTCAAATTTCTGCGTAACGTACTGACAACGACAATTAAAACCAGTTTATTTTACATCTTATGGTTTATATTTTTATTTTTATTTTTATTTTTATGTAATTAAAGTGTTTGAAAATTTCAAGCAAATCATTTCTTAAACTTATGTAAATAAATCCTTAGATTTACCGAAACCGAATATAAACCGAAGGAATTTTTTATATTTTGCAGACGATTAAATCACTGAACGTTTTTTCATGGAATAAATTCTTACGGTCACTAATAAAACAAACGAAAACCTATTTCTTTTTCATGTACCAACAAATCTTTATATATATAAAAAAGAAGAACTATCAGTGTTTGAGGTGGCATCATAAGAATTGGGTATTGAGGTGTTGGTGAATTGTGGTTGAGTTTGAAATATTCCACATTGGTGAAGAGTTGAAAGATTTGAACAAAATGAAGTGTATAAGAAAGGTGGATTGGATGCATTTGTGTCAAATAATGGGGTTGTCTTTCTTTAGATGACCCTCTTTGAAATCAGCAGTAAAGTATAACGGGCAAATAAATAAAACAGATACATCATTTTTATTAACTATCACTTATTTTTTTCAAACTCAAATTATAATCACGTATGATTGTGTCACTCCAGTAAAATCAGGCTTATATGACGTTTTATGTGTTCCAATGTCCTAATAGAGTATCTTATACGATTTAAGTTTACAGAATTATAAAATAAAGCGTTCCATCTAAAAGTGTTACAAGAAGTTTATAGAATTTTTGCGTTTATATGACACTTTTTCAATCGATGTCTTATAAAATAATTATAAACACTTTATTTTAAAAAGTTCCTAAAAACTTATTAGGGCTTTCAGAAGCGTTTTATAAACTTATTGCAACACTTTTAAATAAGACACTTACTTTACGGTCTTATAAACTTAAGCCTCATAAGGCACTTTATAAAGACACTTAAACAATTTAGGTGTCCTATAAACACAATTTTGTTATAGCATGTAATTTGTGATGTCATTTGAATCTGAAAAAAATAAATAATGGACAATGAAAATGACATGTAATTGTTTCATTTTATTAATTAATTGTACCTTGTTACTAATGTATTAATACATCAATAAAAATAAAGTATGTCTTTCGTTTTTATAAGTGTAGACTTTTATTATTTCAAAACGTTTAAGAACTTAATCATTTAAAATATGAAAGTTCGTTGAGTTTTTTTTTATTATTAACCTGGATATTCAACTTTATATTCCAGCCGACTAATTCCAGTACGACCACTTGTTTTGCAGGTAGTTGGAGTCACCACATTTGAATCTCCATGGCGACCAGGGGATTTTTATTTCTCTTCGGATTTGAACCTGGGATCTCCAGACACTTTTGACCTTTGGAACTCAAGCTCAAACGAATCAGACACCACTCTTATAAAAAAAATCCAAGTCTTTAATCATTTAAAAATAAAGGGTTCTCGCGTAATACAACGAGATACATATTGATTTTAATATTTTGTTTTATTTTTATCTCAGTTGATGTTATAATATGGTATTATGTTATTTTGAAAAAAAAGATGATGTTTTTATTTTTGAATAAAATATAAATTTAAAGATATCATAAAAATTTGACAAAAATATATCGATATTAGTATCAAATTAACTATTTAAAATTTATTATTTTTTAATTCAAATTTTTTATTATAATT